ATACGAATATCAGGAGGTACCGTTATACGGGGACAACACGAAAACATGGACCTCTACATACAGCATTCCGACACTGAAGCTAAAACTCATTTTGACCTACATATATCAATTTTTATACAAATCTGCATAAAAATCTTGAAAAAAAATACCGAATATTGATATGGCGGCTATACGAAAACGTGGACCGATACATACAATGTTCCGCCACAGGAGCTAGAACCAATTAAGCACTACAAATACCAATTAATATAGACAAAAAAGTGGCAAAAATCGTCAAAATACCTAATATCGGGAAGTCCATTATATGGAGGCTATACGAAAATATGGACATATACATACTGATTGATAATAGAAAGTCGACCGTTTCGTCTGGGTTCTATTTCAATTCTGATTTTATTTGGTGAAATATTTTTCTTAAGAGCTAAACTACAATATCAATCTTAGGGTATCTTATTCTTAGAATAACCTCCACTTATCTTCTGTAGGTTGAGTGCATTATCAATTGGGCATTGACTTTATTATCAGTGCACCCCAGCTGTTCACATTAAGTATCATAAACTATGCTGCACTTATTTAAAACACAAGTGTTTTCACAATATTTATGACTAAGACAATAAAATATTTTATGGTCGAGCATTGTCTATGTAAAGATTAAATTAATGTAAAAAAATATGTTAATATTTCCATGAATATTCCCCAGTTGGCAAATATTATCTAGACATTCGGTACCACTGGAAATTGTATAGCGGCAATATGTTTCATAATTATCAATTTCCTTATAAATAGAATTATGAGTATTATTGACATTATTATTACTAAATTTAATGCAGAGTGTCCGGACAAATAATGTAATTCTAACCTTCTAAACTCGATGTTCTCCTTCTTCAAATCATCCACTAGCTTCTTTAGTTGGTTGATATCTTCGTAATGATTGACTGGGACATTGTCTAGGGGTTTTATGACATCCTTTTCTGGCTGACTTAGGTCCTTTAAAAGTATAGAGTCAAATTATGATGTCATTTTATTTCTTTGTCGATGGACTGCCACCAATGTCACTTTATCAATCCTAGCTGTGCAGTCCGCCTCCAGAGGAAAAATGCCTTTCCGCGGGAGTTCCATGATTGCTTGTTGTTTATCAGAGCACTTTATGTGAGCCGATGCATTTCCAATTTCCTTTATGCCGCACTTGTATTCAATATGGACTCTTCTCCACTTCATCATACGCGCAGTTTAGCTTAATGTGTGGCCTCAGTGGGGCTAGTTCGCAATTGTTTGTAATGGCATCTCTCCAAGGGAAGTTCTCCTCACATACACTTTCATCTCCCAATGTTTTTTTTTTTTTTTTTGGATTCGTTCAACATGGCTTGTGTCAAGTAGTGGAATGCATTTAATTCGAAATTATAAACGATGTGTGGTGCTTTTATCCTCGGTATCAATACCGTACTCTCTCAAAGACCTAAAATGGTAAAGACTAGACAAAAAGCATTCTGAGCAATTGGTTTGTGGCTATACTACTTTGAATAACAGCATATGACAAAGGCATGTTAATATAAAAAACACAATTATAGGAAGGAATGACAAATAAAAGTTTGAATAATCGAAAATATTGCTTTCACAATTTTATTCCATATACCTTCCCAAATAATTACATACTGCCTTAGCGGTTTAAATTGCCTAACATTGGTAACTATGTTGTTACGATATCATAACAACAGAGGTATTTTTCACAGGGTTGCCATATTTTACTCTGTCTTGTCCTATCTTTATACTTCTATGTCTTTGACTCTCTTGCTTAAAGGGAAATGAAATTGTTCTGTAGACTTATGATTATTATCTAATGAATAGAGGAATCTTTAGGTCGATTATTAATTGGAAACCGACGAACATTCCATGTCCCCTCATTATGTCGTTTATCTTCCCTCAATAATAAACGACTATTCGCCTTGATTTTGTTTACTTTATACTCCATATTGTTTATGACTGACCAGCATTGATCCTCAAATGTTTGGAGTCCAGGACGTATCTCCTCCGAGGTGTTTAACAACCTTGTCACAAGCTCCAGTGTCTCTAAGTAGGGTTTCATTTCAAAGTGAACAACCATGTTCCACGAAGATCTGCTCAATCCTTTTACGGAAGAGGCCTTAGTCGATTTTACCAAAGAAAGATTCATAATCATGGTCAGCATTATTACTGGATTTCGCATTAGCTTCGGTAACCGCTTCGTTGTATTCACTGACATGGGTTTTTGTTGCAGATCTTCTTGTATATTATCTACGTGCTCTAATGGACATAATTTATTTATTGGTCTCTTTAATTCGCCATCTTGTTATTTCACAGTTGCCACTCTTACAACCTCATCCGGATGTACATCTGTCACTTTCGCCAGTGGCCAACGAGCTGGATGTGTCTCTTCATTTTGACCCACTTCCAGATTCCTATCTTTTGCCTCTATTTTCTAAGATTTCGCAAGGTCCTTCCATTTTCTACAGAAATGATTTTTTATTCTAAGCAGTAGTTTCCATCTGTCAACGCATGCAAAACTTCCTTCCCCGATTCTTGCCGGAGCCTCTAATAAAGGAAGTCCAATTATAAAATGGCCTGGTGTTAAAGTGTCGATGTGTTCCGGGCTGCTATCTAGCTCGTGTAATGGCCTCGAGTTTAATACCGCTTCTATTTGGGTCAGCACCGTGCTAAATTCTTCATACTTCAACGATTCATTTTAGGTGATACTTCATCGATTTGACAGCCCCTTCCCACATTCCGCCGAAGTGAGGAACTGCCGGGGTGATAAAATGTTAAATGGCATTTTATCACATCCTCGTCCATTTTCAGAAAGTACAACGAATGTGCTGCTTAAGCATCTGCGGGGCAATGAGGACAACACCAACTAGGGCACTAGAGACATTACTATTTCTTCACCCAATAGACATTCAGATTCGGTATGAAGCAACCGTCGCGGCCTTAAGGCTTAGGGCAACGGACGAGTGGTTAATCAAAGGCCACGCTACATACCATCAAAGAATCTTACAGGTAACAATGGGAGAATCAATAGAAAACTTTGTATCGGACCGGATATCTGAATCTATTGTAGCTGCCTCTTGTGAAACATTAATCCCAAACAGAGACTCGTGGATCGATTGATTCCCATCACAGATGCCGACTGGAAACTGTTGTTACACAGATGGTTCAGTGTTGGGGGAGATAGTAGGACTGGGTCTTTTTATCGAAGAAACGAATACCAAAATCTCTTTCCGCCTGACCGATCACAATACGATCCTACAAGCGGAGGTCCGGGCGATTACAGAGTGTCTGAACTGGTTAAATGCTAACACGAGACCGGCTATCGTAAACGTCCTAACGGACAGTAAGATAGCCATTAACACTATAACATCCAAAACAGTAACTTCAAGAAGTGTATTGGAATGTAAGATAGCCATTAACACTATAACATCCAAAACAGTAACTTCAAGAAGTGTATTGGAATGTATAAACTCAATCAACAACTACTCTCAACACGGCTTAGTTCGCATTATATGGGTACCAGGCCATAACGGAGTTAGAGGTAACGAGATAGCAAACTCTCTCGCTAGAACAGGCAGGGAATTAGCAGCAGTAAACTTAGACAATCCACTGCCGCTAAAAGCGTCATGTCTAATGTTAAAGACATGGGCAAAAACCGCCCATATATCTTTATGAAACGAAGAGGGCGTAGGGAAAACCACCAAAATCCTGTGGGGTGACCCAAATGAGATAAAAACGAAGAATCTTTTATTGCTATGCAAGAAGGAGATCAGTGAGGTGACAGGCATCCTTACGGGGCACCTGGGCCTACAAGCTCATCTATACAAGATAGGTTGCACAGATAACAGCATATGCAGGGCGTGCAGGGAAGACGACGAAACTTTGGAACATTTTCTCTGTATATGCCCAGCGTTTGCTAATATCAGAGCCCAATTCTTAGGGAGCGACACTATACCAGACCAGACTTAGTCGGATCATGGTAAATGATATAAAACAGTTAATGAATTGCATAAAGGCAACAGAATTTCAATTATAACAGACTGTTTAACTGCACGTCTTCCTCGGTAAAACCCCTCTGACTAGAGCGCACAACATTCAGTGGAAGCTCAAATAAGTTTCAAAGACCACATATTTACAATGTACGTCTGAAATAGAATGACAAATAGTTTATTTCGTGCAGTGCATACATGATATGACAAAATTTGCCTATGCAGGTACACGTCGTCGTATAAACTCCAAAATAGGACGTATCTCCTCCGAGGTGTTTAACAACCTTGTCACAAGCTCCAGTGTCTCTAAGTAGGGTTTCATTTCAAAGTGAACAACCATGTTCCACGAAGATCTGCTCAATCCTTTTACGGAAGAGGCCTTAGTCGATTTTACCAAAGAAAGATTCATAACAGAATTTTTAAAGGATTTTTTTCTTGAAAATTGTCTAACTCGTTCCGAATGATAGAGGGTATTCAAAGTTTGGCCTGGCCGAATTTACAGCTTTTTTACTTGCTTTTTTTGAAAAGTTTAAATGCATTATCCGAATGGTCTTACTGGTATTTGTAGTTTAAAGTGGAACACGGTTGAATTAAGATACGTAAAAAATAAAAATGTTTCCTCTACCCATGGTGGAGGGTATTAACAGTGCGGCCCGGGCGAACGTGTATTTCGAGGAGTTGCAATCGCAATGACAAAGTTATATAGGCGGTGGCAGTATTATGCACGTATGCAGTATTCGTTTACATACAAACGTTCAATTGACGTTTGCTACGTTTACATACAAATCTTTAACTCCGATGTAAGAATACTTTTACTTTGCTTTAATAGATTCTTTCATTTAGTCTCCCGGTAACTTTTATTCAGTAAGAAGTTACTGAGTAAAAATACATTTTTTGTTTTTATATTTTTATTAGAATAATAAAAAATATTTCCCATTTCCTATTGTTCACATCATGAACATAACATTTGTGTTTTTTTATTATTTTTAGAACCTTCTACATTCAACTGAGGCGCCATTTCCAGAGTATAAAACTCAATCAATAAAGAAATCCCGATTCATATTACCGCATTATGGAGTTTTTAAGGGATTTTGGGACTGGATTATTTTGGTATCAACGTTTTATGTGGCAGTATTGGTTCCATATAATGCGGCATTCGCAAAATCAGACCGACAAACTATGATTTCAGACGTGATAGTTGAGGCACTATTTATAGTAGGTAAGTATACTTATCGATACTGCAAACATAAAAATATTTTTTTTAATAAATTTCTAGACATGCATATTTATTAAAAAATATTCAAATTTTTTACGAATATCAAAGTATTCACTCAAGTAACGAGAAATCACTTCTAATATAAGCACAGAGCCTTCACTAACGCTGTAGATATATGGCCCTTAAACAGTTATAATACGTACGTAAAAATACATGCCGTCTTGGTATTAGTTCATGATTAAAGACAAATAATTCGCGCACATCCGACGCACTTTTGAGAAAACTAACAATAATTTAAAATTTCTCAGGCTGGGTTGAATATAATGCACCAAAATTTATTGTATTTACTATGGTTGCATTTTAGGTATTTAAAAATGTTAAAAATATTCAAGCTGTAACATGTTTTGTAGTAGTAAACTCCTTAATTAAGAGAATCAAATAATTTTACAATTGTGTCGCATGTTAATAAACTTTTCATAATTTTATTTTCATTAAAAACTGACAGTATTTATAGCTACCTTGTAGGTAGTATGTTAAATTATCTTTGTGTTCTCGGCCATCTAATATGTTGTATACTTTTTCTTCCTCCAATGTTGATGTCTGAAATGCAACTAATCTAAACTATCGGAAAACAGGGCAATTTCTAACGAATCAAATCAAACCCAAATGAATAATTTCTCTGCGTGTCTAGAAAATCCATAAAATTCTCTCTTTGTAGTATCTTTCATTTAATATAAATGGTCTTGTTTTGGTCCAGATATTTATTCATGATAATGAGGTATGACTTGTACTATTCCAATTTTCCGAAGACAATATTGCTTGCAGTAAATTAAAACTTTGTGACAGAGAGCTTAATTCTTTAGCCAAGAATGTATTTTTCAACAACATTAGCTCCTGTAACTTTATCGGCAGCCTGTTTTGACTATATTTAAACATGGGGTTTCCTGTAGTTTAGGTGCAGTTCCAGTGTGTACACTTCTGAAGCTAGGCACTCCCATCCGTTTTAAAAAGTATCTCTGTATTCTACTATTTTCTTCAAAGTAACCAAAGCCGCATAAATCTGTATGGATCTGCACACAGCTATAAACAATTTCCATTTTGAATTCTTGTTTGTCCTCGAATTTCCGATAAATTGGTTGCTGTTGCGGTATTGGACATGCTTAAGAAACTTAATTCTTGGAGTGAATGTTACTTCCAGTTATTTAAATTAATAGGCTATTATTATATCTCTGCCAGCATACGTCCACCATTCGTCTCTACTTAACTTACCTCTTATAACAATAATTTCCGATTCCAGTTTATTGATCATTCTCTGTAACACTTGTATATTATCGAATGGAAATACGATATCATTTTCATACAACAGTACTATGATGTTTATGTTATCTATTAATAAAACTCAACCAATATAATCGTCCAAATCATTTATATAGGGGACAAATAATAATGATAAGATAATTGTTTCAAAGTAATCGGAAAGATCTGTCGCGTTCCAAACTGTTTAATGTGTTTTACAATAGATTTCTTTCTATTAGAGTTACCATCTTGATTGATATACGTATCTGATACAATTTATAGACCAGGGCTTGCCTTGATATGTTGTCAAAGGCATCTATCTACATCTATGAAGTTTGCGTAACCATTTTTTCTTTTAACCTAATTTAAGAGTAACTATTGAAGTTAAATTGTATATGTTGTCAAAAGTTGAGTAGTTCCTTTAATATCCAGTTGATATTCCATTAGTATTCCATGCTCTCCAAACCAATTATACCGGAGCTCGTTTATAAGTCCAGGTAGATTGCGCTGCTCAATACATGAATAATATACCTCCACAATAAGATGGCTCATTTAAGTCTCCTTTCTTGCGCAAATCATAGTTCTTATGAATATTGGGTCAAGTTTGCCAATGGTATAATTTTTTCTGTATATATCTGTGTAAGATTCTTCTGTGCAGTTTATGTAAAATTCATATGTGATCCGTTCCTCAAAGACGCTTTATTACGTTTTACACTCTCAAAAATATTTTTTAGCTCTCTCATTCTTTAAAAGAAGGTGCATAATAGATAATTGTATTTACATTTGACCTATTAAGTACATCTTTGCAATGGTTTTGAAGATATTAGAAGTGATATTGGACCCAACAACATTTTGTTGATTTCGAATGTATCTTCTTGGTAATTGTCTTATAAAAATTGGCAAATTTATACTTCTTCTGTGCCGAAATATATCGTTCTTTATTTTCTTGATGTATCGTTCTTCTGTACACTCTAAGTAGGTTAAAGCTTTTAGTACTTGATTTGTTGCAGTTAATGTTGTACCACTTATGTTTAAGATCAAATGCATGATCCGGCTTGGAGATATATTTTTTTGTATCGAACGTTCCCGCGCCTCACATTCCCGCGCCTCACATTCCCACCCCTGCCGACCGAGGGGGCGATCTCCCTTCACGAAGGGATTGCGTACACATCATGATCCGCATCATAATGGGAATTTAGTAGGAAATTGAAAACCAGCTACAGAATCTAATTTAACAGCTAGTTTGCAAAAAAAAACATGTTTGTTAATTGTTTAAAAATAAAGTTATTCTACATTACAGTACACAGAATTAAAGTCAACACACATTTTACTAAGAGGTTCGCCCATTGAATAATTCGTGCGTTGAAAATCAGTACATAATAATTGGTAGTATCTACTAGATCTAAACGGAACATTAATTCCAATAGATGAGATTAGGAAATCTAAAGGTATATTACCATTTAATATTTTTAGTACAAACATGGAGTTCAACATAATACGTCTGCTTTCAAGTGTAGGCAATCTAATTAATTTTAGCCTGCTAGCATAAGAAGGCGAAACAAAATCACTATTCCAATGTAATGTAATGTAAACCTCGTTAGGCAAATATCAGAAATTGTTGTTGCACGGTTTCTATTTTATATGAGTATATTGCATATAGAGGATCCCATACAACAGAACCGTATTCCAATATAGGTCTAACAAGAGACGTTAATAACTGTTTTGTTATATATGGATCAGAAAATTCTTTGGCTCACCGTTTAACAAAACCTAAAACGCAATTTGCTTTATATACCATTGTTATTACATAGCTATTAAAATTTAATTTTGGATCCATCAAGAGGCCTAGATCGACAAATGAATGTACAGTTAATAATGAATGACCGTCAATATTATATTGTAATATCAGAGAAGAAGATCTGGAGAAGCACATATGCTCACATTTGCATAAATTTAACTCCATACAATTTAACCTGCACCTTTTAAAAAGGCTATCAAAATCGTTTTGAAGTAAACTATCTCGTTTATCACAATTATGGGAAATGAATAATTTAACATCATCTGCGTACATTAACAATTTCGAGTAATTTATAGAATTAGGTAAATCGTTGATAAATAAAGAAAGAGGACCGGTCCAAGGTGACTTCCTAGCGGAACACCCGAGGGACGTTAATCGTTTTGGATAGATACCCTTCAAACAAAACTAGTTGTGATCTATCTTGTAAGTAAGATGATATCCATTTGACTAAGTTTGTGTTGAAACCCATATAATTTAATTTATATATTAGTTCATGGTTAACCCTATCAAAAGCTTTACTAAAATCAGTATAAATTGTATCAGTTTGTTTACGCCGAACAAATCCTTTTATTACTATTGACGTAAATTGTATTAGATTTGTTGTAGTTGAAAGACCACTACGAAAACCATGCTGATATGGACTTAATATAGATTGAATTTTCTGTGAAATTACTGCTGTAATTAATTTTTCGAACAATTTTGGAATGGCACTTAATTTTGCAATTCTTCTATAATTTGACACATTAGTAAGACTACCAGACTTATGTAAAGGTATAATATAAGATTTTTTCCAGAAAGTAGGATAGTGACCAAATTTAAGTGAATAATTAAACAATATAGTTAACGGAAGTGCTAATGTTTCTGAACAATATTTAAGAATTATATTAGGTATGCCATCCGGTCCTGGACATTTAATCGATTTTAAACTACGCAGACTATTGGACACATCCTGACGTTGTGGAAAAGGCATACAAATTTGATCAGCCTGTGATAACTTATAAGGATACGAATCTGTAATTTGGCAAGATGTACTGCAATAGGTTGTGGCAAAAAAATCTGCGAAACATTCAGCAATATCTGTGCCTGTGACAAATTCTCTATCGTTATATTTCAATACTGAGGGCTTTGAGGAAACTTTTCGTTTTAGATTAACAAAATCATAAAAAGATTTAGGATTGGATTTAAAATTATTTTTAATCTTGTCTAGGTAAAGATTATACAATCTACGAGACTCTAAAGTATATTTAGATCTAGCAACAGAGTAATTAGTGTAGTCTATTGTTAAGCCTGATTTTTTATATTTTATATTTAGGCACACAGAAGACCAATTTACGGAGAAAATGAGAGTATTAATTTTTCGAAAATTAGTTGTTTTGTAATTAAGGACAGTTTTAAATGAGTCAGACTGACTTTCTTCAATTACATAACTGTGAGTCATGGAGATATATAAAGTTGGATGGTATATATCTTCAGGAGTGCATATTAGAGGAATTTTAAATATATCAAAATGCTGTGTTATATTTACAAACGCCAAAACAAGAATTTTGCCGTGGGAATTTTCAACACTGTTTATTTGATAAAGATTTAAGTCACACAAACTATTTATAACATCAAATGTATGCTGGGTACTGTTCATTTCGAATGGCAAAGGAATCAAAGCTTCAGAATCTGGCATTGGAAGCCACCTAATGGAAGGCATATTAAAATCACCAAGGATCAGAATGCGTTCGGAATCTTTCATTATTTCAGTGATTAAATTTATTGCTGATAAATGCTGATTATAAATGTCAAGTGAAGATGAAGGGGGAATATAAGAGCAAGTTACAAACAATTTAGGTATTCCCAATTCAATAGAAACCCAACAAATTCTATATAAAGAAAATCATTTAGATCAATTAAATTAGTGGTA